AATTTTAGAAAGCATCTTTGTTGCAATTCCACCCGTGGGATTTAACACTTACCGTGGATGAAGAGGATTCTTTGGCAGCGAATGCTATAAAAACTGTAGCATGATCTACAGGATTTCCATCCTCGTCCAAGGCTTTAGCTGTCCTACCTTGAAGTCTGAAGAAACCATTATCAACTGTAGCCAATGTATATTCCCCAAAACCATTGAACGTGTATGAAACGCCATCTAGAGTCGTAAAATGAGGATCTCCAATCATCCATCCTAAAAACAAACATTAGAGTAAATAGTTTGCTTCTGGAAAAAGAAATATACTAATATATGTTGGTATTCTGCCGAAAGTGTTTAGAAAATGCAAAATATTTCCGACCAGTATAATATTATACATCTGTCAATGTACTGCCGCAGCGTTCCGCAGTTGTGTAGTATCGCACTGTATCGGCATACTACCATATTAGGAAATGGCTATATCAAATATGGAACGATTTTGCGATATTTCCAAGACGGTGGATGCGTTTGAAAACGAAGATCATGGCAAAAACGTTCTAATACTTTTCATCATTTTGCTCCGATCTGGGCTTCCTACATCAAGTGGTTGGTTCACAAAAATGTATAATAATAATAAGGATATAATGAGGATACCGCAAAGTATGCACAAAGATAATATGTGTACGACAATACTCCTGCTGTACTTGTGCATACTTTGCGGTATCCTCGTATAAATCTCAGAGTATTATTACCTGATACTAACATGTTATTTTATGGTGTCTTCTTGCCATGTAAACTTTTGTATAATAACTAAAAAACTTACCCCATATTGGAGGAATGTAGCCGCCGCAATCACCGGGAGGGCGCTTCTCAGCGTACAAATCACAGAAATATGGGTCACGTGATAGTGCACAACAATAGTAGCGAGGGAAGATATCATCATCTAGCATAAAACAGAAACACAAATGAAGACTATGTACAGTAATGTTCGATTAAAGCCTTTTCCAATTCTAGTCATTATTAGACTACAGAGTCATACACAAAATCATTGTATACTTACAAATCCATAGAATATATCTCCTCCAATCAAAGAACCACCACCACCACCTCCACCACCAATGCGTCCAAAAAACTGATGACGCTCCATGAAGCTGCTTCTCCATATAGACTGGTCGTAACCATACACAAGTGTGTGATCTGAACGATACGAGCATCTTTGTCCGGCTCCGTAAGGATTAGGAAACGATGTCTGAATGGTGAAGCTACGACCTGGAGTTAAATAAATTAGAATACATACATAATTGTTATTGGGTTTTCATACCAGCATATCCGATTTGTATTTATTATACCACCCAACGTTCTGTCAACAACTTACTTTTTTATTACAAAATTATTATGATTGAACATGATTAAATTCAACATTATTGAATGTTTATATAATTATATATATTCAATAATCATAGCAGTGTGAAGGTTATAAACACATAGTATGTCTTGCCAATGTTCAATGTTCAAGTAGTGTTATCAGGGCATGTGATAATCTTACTTCGCAGAAGACTCCCACTCACCCATGAAAGCATCAAACAGGCTTTTGATTTTGTAAATTTTATGGTAATATAATTCACAGAATTCTGAAAATCAAATTTAAAAATTAGTACCAAATTTTGTTAAGTGGCCTTGAGTGATTTCACTGAAGATTATCCTGGATTTGATTATACACCTTGACCTTCAGTGCATACCGGATCAAATTGTTCGAGGTCTGTTGCCATACCAACTAATTTTATAATTAACCACAATACTCAATGAATGTTGTTCTGCACTAAAGGTCTTCTGTTGTCTGCACATAAAGTATGAATGCTAATGTAATGTATGACGTAATCAATTCAAATTAGGCACACCTTGTCTACTATTGATTGTTCGTAGTAGATTGTATCCAACTCATCACCATCGTAGTTGTCGGCAACTTCATCATTACCATCATTTCCATTAGAGAATGAATTATCCTGTCGACCCTGAGAAAATCCACACGGGCACGTACCCAAACCCCAATTCCACGTGTATGGTTCTGGTTGTGTGTTATACCAGTCAAGACATCTTTTCTTGTAGTTTATGGTATACTTGTGGTTATTTTCTACTCTGTATATCCATCGTCCACGGAAACCAGTATTACCTATTTCTAAGTCTGGACGGTACCTTTGCTTCAATGTAGGCAGCCTTTTTTTCTGTTCGTTGACAATATACCCGTAGTATCCTTTACCGCCGTTGTATCCCATAATAGCATTGTTGCTGTCCCTGACATGATAGTTCCATGACATTGACCCCTCTTTGTAATTACACAAAACAAAACTATATATGCCGTCAGTGACAAAGGCTCCTTGAAAAGTATTTGTCTAGAAAAAATAATAATTATTCAAGATTAGATAAAAAATGTCCTGATTAGAGAAAAAATGTCCTGAGTTGTAATTGCTGAATCAGTTTGTAGTTAAAATGTTCTTTTGCATCTGTGCAATAGTAGGCCTCTAGGGCAGGCGGCACAATGGCAAACCACACCCCCTATTGCGGACGCAATGTAAATTTAGTACCCCCTAGAGCAGACATATTGAAGAAAAAACACCCACTATTGCAGACATACGTTGAGAACATCTTTCCCCTTTTTGCGCGCATTCTCTGCCTTTTTATTGCACTCAAGTGGAGTGTGATCAACTCAAACAAGATACTTATGGTTGATGTGGATGCAACTCATGTTGGTGTCAATTGTTGTTTTATGGGTCCGCCAATTCGGGGCCTAGGGCGGTGTATGAGAGTGGTTGTTGCAAGAGGGGGCCTACAGCGGGCGCAGCAACCGTGCTAAATTTAGAACGTACACGGGGTAGTATCGGCATACAGAGTGACCCCTGGGCGTCATCATGTATATAACAAGTCATTGTTTAAAAAAATTACGTGCACCTACAACCCAATATGTATGATCATCATACCAACTTTGATCCGAATCGAACCAGTCATCTCCGAGAAACTGCTGTGGACACGTTTAGGTATCAGAAATAAATAGCAAATACCACATCCAAAATGACCGCCAGTCGGCCATTTGTCTCCGATCATAAAGTAACTTGACGCGCATATGTATTGTCTTCATGTAAAGTTTGAATGAAATCCGTCAATGGGTGTCCGAGATATACCTCCGGACGTACGTGCGTACGGATGGACGAACGAACGGACGGAACGAACCCAAATTAATAGTCCCCATTTTCGGACTTCGTCCGAAAGTGGACTAAAAATTGCAGTCATCGCTGTTAACGGGTGAGACGGTAAGACTGTGAATCGTGTTTTGTTACGCAACTTTGTCGACGCGTGGTTTTTTAAAGCTACATTTTAGTCATAGAACAGCACCTGACTAGCTG